ATCGCCTTGTACTGTGCTACACAAAAGTTTAAGGTCATCTCAATATGTTCCAATACATCAATTTTAAAGAGAGATAACTCAAGTATAAATAAATATAATAATAATAGTAAATATAATAATTTATTAACAGGCTAATCGTTCATTTAAATAGAAATAAGAAAACTATAATTTATTAATTTAATTTAAAAACAATTTATTTTTTATTAAAATATTCTTCCAATATTTCGATTATCTTCGATAGTCGTCTTCATTAATAATTATCATTAATTATCATCTTTATTAATTATAATTCTCAGGTACTTTTAATGGATTTTCATATAAAAGTACATCAATTGTGCACAAGAAATCATGAAAAGAATTTAATTGTAATAGACAATATGGCCATAAAGCAATATTTTATCAAATATGTTATTAATATATTGAAATCCCCAAATTTTGCTTGAATGTATTAAACAAACATAATAACAAAATTATTTTTATCAATAAAAACAATTTCAGTAAATTTTAAATAAAAAGATTGTTTCGAACAGTAGTGAACTGCAACAACAAAAATTTTATTTTTTATATTAATTTAATTAATTAAATTTTTGGCTGACCATACAGCTGTTTCGAATACCCATCATCAGTGGTCTTGGAAATAATTCTTGTATTTAATTATTCGTAAATAATTATTTTTGAGACTGCAAGTACCAGGAATCGACTTTTTATGCTCGCATATTTTTCTGAAGTTTTGTTACTTTTGCTGGGATTTTAAATAGAATAGTAATTATAAAAATAGTAATTATAAAAATAATTTAAACTATTGAATAAACACAAGAGCTTTAAATTTCTTCAATTTTCTGTAACTTTATATAACAGACTTATTTGTTATTAATCTTAGAAATAGTTTCAGTGCTTCACACTATCAAACAAAATAGCTTGCTATAAAAAAGAAAACTGAACGGATCTTAAATATTTTAGCGCAAACAAAAACCCCCAAGCAGTTTAGGGTTTTATAATGAAGCCTGATACAACAATTAAATCATGACACTTATTAAACACTGCAAATTGCATCGCACTTATTACACCATATATGCCCATTAAGACATTTACTTCCTCACCAACAACTAAGTAACTCTCATCTTAATTTACAATACCGTATATCCATACATAAAACAGTGTTATAGTTTCTACAAAAATCTTTAAGATGCGGTAAATGCTTTTACCTACAATCACTTCCACTCAACAACAACAGCTTTATGCGATCAATCTTCAGCGATCGTTGATAGTTGCAGCAATTATAATAATCCTTTTGCCATGGTTCAAAGGCCAATTACTGCCACAAAATCCAATACAATGCGATCATATGATCATGTGATCGCTAAGGCAATGAAGTTTTTTATTTTTTGACATTTATTGTTGTTACCGAAATGCTTATTGCCAACTTTACACTTTCCTACTACTGCTTAGCGAAACTTATTGCAACGATCGATCGATTGTCTCGTTAGTATTTTGAAGATTCTCTAAGCGATTGGTAGCCCATAGCGCCAATACCATCCAATAACACTGCTATATCAGCTACAGTAAAAGCGACAACAATTACAACAACAACACCAATAAGATGCTTACAATATTTACTGCTAAAGTGTGATCATGGCATGATCGCTTAGTTAGCGCAACAACCTATCATAGATACTTAACTGTTGCTGACTTCTGCTTTAGCTTGAATAACACAAAGATACCTAAAATTTCGATACAGTAAAATGACTACTACTCTTATTGCTGATGCTGATGCTGTTACTATTACTGTTGCTGTTGCTGTTGCTATCGTTGTTCTTGTTGCTGCTGCTACTGACAGCAATCGTGATCAATTCAAGCATTTTGGCGATACCACAAATTCGTTTATTGGAAATTTGATGCGCGGCGACAGATTCGTTGTGGACTATTTGCAGCTTCACTTGTTTGCTGCTGGCTTTATAAGACACACAACACAGTCTATGCCCTTTACTTGCTTCTGCGCCCACTAACTAACTCGATAACTAACTCAGTGACTAACTAACTGCCAGTAACATGCAACACACGCTTAATAAGCAATTTATGATGTGGAGCAGATTTTTAACTGAAAATCAATGCGGAAAATGAATCATTTATTTTTTGGCTGCAAACTTAGATTTTCTTAAATTTTCTGCTTCTTAATTCTGATATCGATAAGTTTCTGTTTTTTTCTTATTCTTTTTCATTAAGGAGAAACGTGAGTTTGTAACGCTTATCGTTATCGGCGCACACTCATTTGGTGCAGCCACAAACAGGAGCACACTTGACATTGTCGCTGACCCTGCAAAAGATATTTTAACTACTCTGAAGAGTTTGTCGGAGATATAGTAAATATATTTATACTATTTTTTTTCATGCTACGAGTATATTGCATTTTTCACTTTATTTGTGGTGCACGTAAATGTTTAGGCATAAATCGATAATGCAGCAATCGATCTTATTTCATGTCCGTCTCTATCGCATAAGGCGATTGTTGCATTTACCTCATGTCCGTCCTCAGTTACGTGTAGTCCATGCTTTTGGTGTTATTGCTGAGGCTAATGCAACTGCTGTTGTTGTTGTTGTTGGGATTGGCCGATACTGTTTACATGGAACTTGTATTGATTGCTTCCAGTCATGCCTGATTTGTCGATTTACTATTTATGATAAGAATAAAATTTTCAGTGGAATTAATGATTTTTTATTGAATTTTAATTGTTGGCATTTATTATTTTAATGAGTTTATTTTTTTTTTCTTTATGTTTTTTGGCAAGAGACAGTTTGTTTTAAAATTTTTGTACATATTAAAAGATAATTTTTTTTTACAAAAATTAAATAATATTCCACCCAATCAAAAGTTAGATTATGACGCTATTTATTTAGTTAAGATAAAGAATCCACTTCATATCACATTACAGAAGAAATATGTTAAACGAAGCAATTCGGAATGTTAAAAAAATTTATTTTTGAATAATATATTTAGTAGTTTTATAAAATATGCTTATAATTTTATAAATTTATAAAATAACATGTTTTTGAATAATTGTTCTTCCTTATTTCTTTTCCCATTTTGGTAACTTAATTTTGTTGAAGTTTTTGTGAATAATTAGTTAGGTTAGCTTAGGTTATACCGGCGATCGCAAGGGAATCCACTTAGGCCTCTAGGCCCATATAAAAAATAGGTGTTCTAGATTAGTTCATACTACAGACATTTCGATAGCAAGGTAAAATATGAGTACATATTTGAAATAAAGTATTAATAACTAGTTATCACATTAGTCAACTAAGTGAATACATAAATCTAATGAGCAAGGGTAGTGCCAAAAGTATAGTTCAGTAGAGGGAACTTTCACAATTGTGTGAAAATATTTCTTTTCATCATTTAGTCATATCATGATGTATTAATAATCAAAAAACATATTTATACAGATAGCATACACATACACGTATACTCATATACAGGCTCCTCGGGGAGGTATGCAGATCTAAGGTCAATTATTGCTTAGTCTGATGAAGTGATAAACAATATATTTGTCAAGGTGTAAAGAGGGGTTTTGAAAATACCTCGAGTTAAAAAGGAGTATAGTAAGTGCTTAAGTGCACTAGCTCAAAACAGCTTCAACATAATATTAAAATCATTTCGAAGAATTAACTATAATAGATTCCTATATAGTATTGTGCGCGATAGCGTTAGAGAGGGTTAGAGTGAATGAAGACCTTATGATTTCATGTCCGTCTGTATTGCATATGGCGATCGTCACATTTACTTCATGTTCGCCTCAGTTATTAGGATGAGAACTGAAGACACCTCAAATGTACTTCTACACCAGTCTCATGCAAATGGAATAGCTTCATATGAATCTTATTCATTCTATCGTTTATTACGGAATGGAAATACTATAATTAAGTATTCTCATCCACTTGGCTTGTGAAGAGAAATGCAGTATGAAACTTACGCCTATCCTAAATGTAGGATGGGCGAGAAGCTCCTGCGATTGTCAGGAGAAGAATCCAATTAGTTTATCCGACTCTCATTCAAATAATTCAAATAAGGTCTAGCATCTAAAACCATATGACATTTTTAGATTTGTTTGTCAGTCTTATTCTCTCCAGCCTATCTTCAACTATAGCACAATGGATCTTATATGTCGATTTGTCCCTTTTAGTAATAAATAAGGAAAAATATGAAGTTTCATAATGTATTAGCAAGACAACTTAAAAATTAATCATTTAAATAAGATAATCCAAATTAAAAGAAGCAATAGGTATATATATGGTATATTTTAGCTAATGTAGGTTATCCCCAATCTACACCTTGTAATTCAGTAATAAATATTTCGCATCTTTAACAACATTTATGGTGTTTTTATGGAAATTCCTTTGAATTTTCGTAAAACTGTAAGAAAATATTTTTAACCAATTTAAGTGAAAAACTGTAAAACAAGCACACATGCGCGGGAGTTCACCCGCAAACTTCATTTTCCTAAAAAGTAGACGGGATCGGTGCAGCCAACATAAATCGATCACGATCGAATTTACCAAAATAGATAATAATCCGGACGCTTATGGCTGCAACGAACGAGTGTTTTAAAGTTTTAAACGCAATTGTTGCTTGTTAGAGGAAAGGCAAAAAATGCGGTAAATGCAGCAGAAGCCTGAATAATGGTGCATATGCAACATACGAGTATTCAGCAACGCCAATAATGCAGGCGTGTATTCTTATCTGCGTGTGCATTTTGATTAGGTAAAAATTTCTACTCCATCCATAACATAATAGAGCATTTTTATGAAATCAGTTCTTGCCATTTATGCCGAGCATAATGCAATTTGAATTGCTACGAGTATTATCGCCTGCAACATGCTTACGCGTATGCCATACGGCAACG